AGCAGGTGACGCCAGGCCGGCCAAGGCAGGGGCCAGCGGGGACCCCCTGATTGCCCCGCCGGTTGCCCCACAGATTGGCCCTGATTGCTGGCCAGGCCTAGGCACCCCACCCGTGCATGAATTTTGTGCACTGGGCCTCTAGTATCACATAACTATTCAAGTTTGTTAAGTATGAAGATGTTTATTGCATCTTTATAACAGGGAAAAGCTGGAAGCAATATAAATGTCCATCAGGAGGGATTAGTTAAAGCGGTTCATTATATACTACATTGTCCATAGTAAATATTGATATAATTCTGTATTTATTAAAGAAACATGACATATTAGTAAATAAAAAAGGCATGTTATATTATCAAAAAGGCATGTTATAAAACTTTATAGTTGGATCCCATTTATTTAAAATAATAGAAAAACTCACATATATATTAAATGTACATATAAAATACATTTGTAATGGGGGCTAGAATTGAGAGGAGAAGCAATAGGATATTTTTTACTTCTTGTTTTATATGTTGTATAGTACCTTTTTTTCTTTTAAATATATATATATATATATATATATATATATATATATATATATATAAAATGTATTTTTATTGATTTCAGAGAGGAAGGGAGAGGGAGAGAGAGATGGAAACATCAATGATGAGAGAGAATCATTGATCGGCTACCTCCTTTTACTGCTCTTTGGATCCTTACAACCAGTCTCAGATGAACAGACTCAAGCTAGCCTGTTGGATGATGAGAAACACGAGGCCTACCACCCTAGCCACCAGCCAGGCAACTGCTAGATATTTTATTGATTTCAGAGAGGGAGGGAGAGAGAGAGAAACATCCATGATGAGAGAGAATCATGGATTGGCTGCCTCCTGCAAGTCCCCCACTGGGGATCGAGCCCACAACCCAGGCATGTGCCCTTGACCGGAATTGAACCTGGGACCTTTCAGTTTGCAGGCCGACGCTCTATCTACTTACTGAGCCAAACCGGCTAGGGCCAAAATAATATTTTTTAAAAAATCATTCAGATATAATTTGTTTTTGGTTATATTGAAGAGTTAAATTTGAAAGCCAACACTTTATATCTTTACAAAGACTGTGTTATTGTATGGATGAATTGCTTTAAAAAGATATTAAAAGCAGTAAACATAAAGACTAAGAGTGATATGTTTGATAACCACTCATATGAGTAAAAATGAGAAGATAAGTCACAGACTGGGATAAGAAGTGTATCACACTGTAATCAATGAATGATTGTTGTTCCTTATAAGACAAATTACTTTGGCAGTATAGCGCTCACGAGATTTAGTTTACTTCATTAGGAATACCTTGAGCTTATCAGAATTCCACAAGACAGCAAACTCCTTAGGCTCTTTTCCTTGATCTATTTTGTCCCACTGAAAGAATATATTTGAGGCCACTCTCCTATGTTTATTCACAGGCTTTCGTTTTTGCCCTGAGGATGCGACACAGTCTTACACTAGCATTTCTCAAATTGTCTTTTTTATACTCCTGCATTAGAAACTGTTGAGTATTTCCGGTTCTGAAATGTGTGGCTTTTCTCTTTGCCTTCCCATCCGTGTTTGCAGCTGGTTCTTTTCTGAGTTCATCTCTCGTATTTTGTTAAGTACAACTAAGAGCATCCAGGGCTAGTAGCATACCATCTCTTGGCTTTTTCCTATAAATCCACAAGTTCATTAGTCACATTATCTGCTTTCCAAGTTATTGCCAGAAATACAGTTCTGCCGCTGTGTTATATGTCATCATTTTCCCAGTCTTCAGTAACAGTTACTTGTTGCTCATGCCCAATGCCAGTCTCACATATGTGATGTTTTTGGTATGGCAGTAACCCACTCCTGGTTCCAGTTTCTCTATTGACTTTTCCTAAGTAAGGCCGCCGTAACTACTCCAAAATTGTAGTGCCTTACTGCAATAGAGGTTTATTTCTAGCTCCCATGTTAGCCACAAGTTGTATGAAATGTGTCTTGCTCTCTGTTCCAGGCAGAGGAGCAGCCCTTTCTTGGTCTTTGGTCAGAGGGAAAGGTGAAAATGCTGACCCATGGAATAGCTCTTAAAACTTCTCGGATAGCCTGGTTTGGCTCAGTGGATAGAACGTCGGCCTGCGGACTGAAAGGTCCCGGTTTCGATTCAGGTCAAGGGCATGTACCTTGGTTGTGGGCACATCCCCAGTGGGGGCGGGGGTGCAAGAGGCAGCTGATCGATGTTTCTCTCTCATTGATGTTTCTAACTCTCTATTCCTCTCCCTTCCTCTCTGTAAAAAATCAATAAAATATATTTTTTAAAAAATCTTCTCAGATATGGTGTAGATAATTTACAATTATATTTCATTGCCCAAAGCAAGTTATATGGCAGTTCCAGTGTCTGCATGGTAGAGTATTTGTCTAAGGGAGGAACAATCAGGCCTAAAGACAGGGAGCAATCGTTTCACCTCTAGGGAAGGGGTAGAATAGTTGAGAACAATACTACCTGCGCTTTCACTTCTAGAACCCCTAAAGCAGTGTTTTCAAAGGGCTGAATTCTTAGGTGGAGATAAACATTTGGAAGTTATCATTGTGTAAGTGAGTAAAATAAGATCACCCAGGAGAGGGAAGAGAGCAGTAGATACCTCATGGCGCACTAAGAATTAGCTGTCAGAAGTAGGGGAGAAGCCAAAACCGGTTTGGCTCAGTGGATAGAGCGTCGGCCTGTGGACTAAAAGGTCCCAGGTTCGATTCCGGTCAAGGGCATGTACCTGGGTTGCGGGCACATCCCCAGTAGGAGATGTGCAGGAGGCAGCTGATCGATGTTTCTCTCTCATCGATGTTTCTAACTCTCTATCTCTCTCCCTTCCTCTCTGTAAAAAATCAATAAAATATATTTAAAAAAAAAAAAGAAGTAGGGGAGAGAATAGGAAAGAACGAGCTCTGGCCCTTGTTATAGAGCTATTCTCCAAAAATTATAACATTTTAAAAAAAGTAAAGCCTGAATGCAAACGCTGTTAAAACTATCCAGTTTGTCATCACAAGACTTAGTTTCCAGATAGCATGTATTTAAAATTAAAATGTGTGTATTTGTTCTTACAGAGATTTGCCACAATATGGGCAGAAGCAGTGGCAATCCTATTTTGGAAGAACTTTTGATGTTTACACCAAACTCTGGAAGTTCCAGCAGCAGCACCGGTAAAGGAATTTTATAGTTAAAGGAGAGTGCAACTCCATTTTATATTAATCACAGTTTTGACCTTTACTACCTTCTGCTTTTTATCTGGGTACATCTTAATATATTTTATCTTCATGACCCAAATGAAAAAAAAATCGATTTTTTAATGTTTATTTAAGATTTTAAAATGTAAGTTCTTAGGGTTTTTAAAGAAAATATTACATGTGAAATGGTTCAGATGAATTCTACCCTAGCATAGCTTGGCTGATTCATGATTTCATTCTTAAATAGGTATTGTTTATTGGCCAAAACTATTTGAGGGTGTTGCTTCTAATTTTCATGAACATAGCTCAAAGAAGTTTCTATTTATGTTTCAAATTAAATGGACATTTAATAAATGCTTTTTTAATGTAATTGAATCATTATGTTTCAATCTCATGAAAAATTCATAAATCTGAATTCATGAATTTAAAATTTCATGCTGGATTGGGTATCATTTTATCCTATTAAGTTTACAGATTTGGTTATTTTTGAAATTTATAGTCTCTTATTTCTATTTTCTTATTTCCTATATAAAACAGACAAGTCTTGGATAATCGGTATGGCTTGAAGCGGTGGCAAATAGGGGAAATTGCTTCTAAGATTGGGCAGCTATACTACCATTATTAGTAAGTGAATTGTATATGGAAAAATCAAGCATTGACCTGATTTAAACACAGCATGCGGAAGTATGCATGGTATATTACTTGGTTGGAGGGAAAACTAAGGAGTTACAAATGAAAACCTTAGTAATTCAGATCATATTGGTCAAGACTACATTGTGAAATGACCTTCTATAATCAAAGTAACATTATTTACTTCAATGGCTCACCTTCCAAACAGTTCATTTGGTCAGACTCATCTATAACTTAAAGAGCTTGGTTTTAGGTATATGAATTTATAGTTTATAATGGCTTCACTTAAGTCTTGATACTATGCAGAGACATATCAAAACTTGTATGTTTGAATAAGTGGTTTTCAGGAGGATATTTTAAAATCCATACCTGTAGGATATGTCTAAAAGGTTACATGATACTTCTGATTATATCCTTAGAGCAGCATCTACAGGGGCTGGCAAAAGTAGGTCTACAGTTGTACTTATTGAAAATAATACAATAATTAATAAATAATAATGCCAGAATAAAATCTGTGTTCCGTGTACTCACAACTATAAACCTACTTTTGTCCACCCCTATATGTAGTTCCACCCATGAGTCAGGGACAGAAGAGAACTCCTTTTAGGACTAAATCTTATTATCATGAAGTAATACCAGGTATGCCATAAAAAGACTTGGCCCATTTGTAACGTAGTAGGCCAGAAAAATTCCTTCCTCTTCCTGTCTTTTGGCATGGCACCCATAATTCCCACCATTAAAATCACTCTCTTGTGTAGAGTATTTTCTTAAGAAGTCATTTGTAAAACTAGACATGTGGTGTGTTTTGTATATTTTAATTATTTTTTTAATTTTTCAAATACAGTTTTCCTTCAGTATTGTATTGGTTTTAGGTATGCAGCATAGTGATTAGATAATCGTATACTTTACAAAGTGTTCCCCTGATATTTCCAGTACCCACTTGGCACCATACATAGTTGCTACAATATTATTGACTATATTCCCTATGCTGTATTTTAATCCCGTGACTATTCTGTAACTACTAGTCCCTTCATTTCTTTCACCCAGTTCTCTAAACAAAGAGCCTAATTCATCAGCATCCTTTGAAGATTAATATGGATTAATCCATTTCTGAAGTCCATGAGAAAAAAATGAAAGAAATTAGTCAAAGGATAAGTGACTATGTATGGATTTGAGGGAGGTCATGAAAGGTCTGGTCCTGGGGGGAAATGCTGTTTGGAGAGTCCCTGAGAAGAATGAGAAGAATGTATACTTTGGGTTGCCATCCAAAAGGATTGGGAGCAGTGGGGAGGCATTTTTAAAAAATTATCATTATTATTATTTTTACACATTTTAAGGGTGATATGAATATTGCTTTGCTGATTCAAATTTAGGACAGTCATTCCCATCCTCATGTACAGGAATGAAGGAATAATGGAACAAGTATTGATCATAACGAAGAATTTGAGACACTGTCAAATTTAAAGATTTTTTTTCTCTCATAGCTTACGCACATCTGAGACCAGCTATCTGAATGAGGCTTTCTCCTTCTATTCTGCAATCAGACAGAGATCATATTATTCTCAAGTCAATAAAGAAGACAGGTATGCACCTACTATATTTTAAAACACTTAATTTTTAGTTTGTGGGCAAATTATGCAGAAATGCACACATTTGTTTATAACTTTTATTCATTCCATGGGTTTTATGGAATGCCTACTATGTAGCAGGCCTTCTTAAGCATGCAAAGATATGTTACCTAATAGCAATACATATTACAGATGTTGTAACAGATGTCACAATACCAGCGGAGTCAGAGCACAAAGGAGGGGTGGATTATTTCTTTATGAAAGATTGGGATCACACAAAGTTTCATTGAAAAGAAACAACTCCAGGGTGAGGCTTAGCTGATAATGTCAGGTCTCTTAATTCATATACATTCAAAAGCCTATTGACAGTTGTCATGTAGGACTAACGAAAAGGCACTCAGCTGTTTGAATTTTATTTTATAAACCCACTACTGTCATGCAGTTGTTAGAAGGAAAAAACTTGGTGTAATTCATTAAATTCCCAACAGTAATCTATTGAGCACTTATACCTCTGGCAGTGTGGTGCCCTAGCTGGTTTGGCTCAGCGGATAGAGCGTCGGCCTGCGGACTCACTTTCAGACAATTACCTTCTCATGGGGGTTATAGACATCTTTGGGTCACAAGTAGATGGTGATGCTATTAATTCCAGAGGAGTGTGGAACTGTGGGAGAAACCAGGGACCTGGCCCAGAATCTTTATTGCATCAATAAAATATATTTTTTAAAAAAGAAAAAAAAAAAAAGAAAAGAAGAAGGTGTACAGGTGTGCTCTTTCCCTTTCAGACAATTACCTTCTCATGGGGGTTATAGACATCTTTGGGTCACAAGTAGATGGTGATGCTATTAATTCCAGAGGAGTGTGGAACTGTGGGAGAAACCAGGGACCTGGCCCAGAATCTTTATTGCTAGTGTTTAAAGAATTGTTAGAAGAGAAAGTTCAGGTCTAGAAGATGGGAATGTTCTCTCTACCTCTGGCAACAGAACTCACAGCTGTTACAAGTGAAAAGATGATTTTCTCTTAGTGCTAGAAGAAAACATAGTTTTGCCCTAGCCGGTTTGGCTCAGTGGATAGAGCGTGGGCCTGTGGACTGAAGGGTCCCAGGTTGGATTCTGGCCAAGGGCACATGCCCAGGTTGCAGGCTCGATCCCCAGTGTGGGGCATGCAGGAGGCAGCCAATCAATGATTATCTTTCATCATTGATGTTTCTATCTCTCTCTCCCTCTCCCTTCCTCTCTGAAATCAATAAAAATATATTTTAAAAGAAAACATAGTTTTGGCATGGCTTTCTAGAGAACACTTTGTGCTTGGCTCTTATGAGCTTTCCAGCTCTACGACGACATTTTTTGGAAAGCCCCACTCTTGTAAATCCCCTTCATGCCCTTGCAAGTCTTGTTCAGACTCGTCCAGAGGAGGTGATTTGATACAAGTGAGGTATGCCGATGCTGTGGTCTCTGTGTTATTGCCTTACTTCTTTCCTCTATCAGAAGTTCCATCAATTATTTTTCCTTCAGATTTTTTTACGATTTGCTTTGCATATATTCAGTATAGATATATTTCCTACATCCCTCACCCCCTTTTTGCATTTATGTTGTACAATTTATCTGAATTCTTGGTGAGATAAATTGTATCTCTAAGAACATGCAAAAGGGCTATGTAATATTTTATCAGCAAAGAACTATTTTAAGCAATAGTAAAATACCTTGTATAATTCACTTTTCTAATTTGCCAAAAGAAAAATTGGCCTTAGGCCCGTTGGCTTAAAATCCAACAGTTTGATTTGTGGAAATCATTTTCCATCCTAAGAGCAGACACCACACATCAATTGTTTCCCTGTGCTGCCTCCTAGAGCAGGGCAGAAGAACGGAGGTAGGATTATTTGGAACCAGGATGACTAAATCTCTTGCCGTAAACACACTAAATTAGAATCAACGGACAACCCAAAATCTTGACCTTGTTTTCTGGAAGGACAGTTCAGATGGTACGTTGTTTGTTTCTTAGTTCACATAGGGCAGGAGGGCCAGTCAAGGTAGCCATTGGTGACCTCCTAAAATCAACAGCCATTAGATTAAAACAAGAAAGTATTCCACAATATCACAGTTGCTTTATAAGGCACAAGTCTCTTCTCAAAGGGACAGGTTCTCTCTGCTCTCCCTCAATGCCTCAGCAATCTGTCAAAGCCAAGAGGAACGGATGTTCTAGCCCTCACCTCGGTGACTGTTGTCATTAAGCATGACAACTCTCAACAATGTCTCTTTCCACGGGCCCATCCTGTTTAGTAAAGGGAGATGTTACCCCGTAATCACTTGTCCTAGGAGCTGCAAACCCCAACTGTTGCAAATGGCTGGGGCTGACCCTGTTCAGAGTTAGATATGGAGAAGATAAAGCACGCAAAGGTCCTAACCTCTGTGCACTTGACTGCATTTAGCCACCAGGAAAACAGTTTCTCTGGCAAGTGCGCAGAGTCGTATCAATTAGTAAACACATTTCTAGATAACCCCTGGGTCTAAGAGAAAATTTTTAAGTTTTGTTATGGAAAATGTCAAACATATACGAAAAATATACTATTGTAAGGTTATTATATGTGCAATGTAGGATGTAGAAAGCAGGAAGTGGACGTTGGGAATGTCAGGTTCACTTGATAAGGGATAAGTGTGAAGAGGTGCGGTATTGATTGTAAAAGCCTTTGGTAAGTTGAGGATGCATATTGCTACTCCTAGCAGCACTATAAGAACAATAATGCAGAGGTATGAGTAAGAAGCCAATAGAGGACAGTACGCTAAAATATATTAGATTAACTGGAAAGAAAGCAAGAGAGGAGCAGTAAAGGGCACGAACACAGAAGGGACAAACCGAAAACAAATAAAGCAAGGTGGAGGCGCAAACCCAGAGGACCTGCGTGTACGAGGCAGAGATGACCACAGTGGCTGAAAAAGCAAGACCTAGCCATACGCTGTCTGTAAAAGATGTGGTAAAATAAAAGGACAAAGGCACTGGAAAGCAGAGGAAAAGGAAAAGATATGACCTGTCAGCACTCAGCACAAGGAAACAGGCTTGGTGATATTAATATATAAAAGATAAGATCTCCAAACAAAGACTGTTCTTCCTGGAATGCTTTTCACCTTGTGCTTTTCTGCCTCTTATCTTCTCCTCTTCCTTATATATAGCCTTCACTCAAACATTACTCTCTCTGGGAAGTTTACTCTCACCCAGGATCCAGTCCTGTGGGCTCACATAGCACCCTTTATTTCTCGTGTCGTTATACTTATTCCACTATGTTTTAAGTATTTATCTGTCTTCTCTATATTTTACATATTTTTCTATCTGTAAGAGCTGAGGAGAAGGGACTGTGTCTGTAGTTCTGTGTGTGTATGTGTGTTTTCACTCTGTTTCCAGCACTTAGCATAGTGCCAGATGCATCTAAGTTCTCAATAGATATTTGTTGAATGAATGAATTATGTAATGAATCAGTAAGAAATGTTAAGACTATAGTTTATATGCAGAAATATTTATAACTGAAGAATAGGGTCAAAACAGCATATTTTCTTTTTTAATCTAATGACTAATTTTCCATTTATCTACCGCAGACCTGAGTTGGTAGTGAAGAAGCTACGATACTACGCAAGATTCATAGTAGTTTGTCTTCTTCTCAACAAAATGGATGTTGTAAAGGAACTGGTGAAGGTAAATGTACTTTAAAATATTTGAATATCTAATAGTGTATGGATAATTTTGTTTTTTAAAAATAGATTTGAGGTTAAAATAGTTTTTGGTCTGTCTAAATCATTACAGCATCAAAAGTGTGGTAACTTCTGCCAAGGGCAATGATAAAAATTTTTTTTTCAACTCTCTTCGTATTTCAAACACAGACTGACCAGAGACCATTATCTTAATTCCATGCTTTTGTCCCTTCAGCACATTTTACATTTCACCACCTATCCATGGATGGTCGGGAAATGCAGACAAAAGTTAAAATATTTTGTTTAAAAAAAGATAGTTGAAAAGTTAGGTCAAGAAAAAGCACACAATGTTTGACAAAGGTGTTGGGAAAGAGTTTGGTTTTTTCCCATTCCTTTAGTATTTCTGCATCACTGTCCTCCATTAACTCAGGCAGTTAAGCGTTAACGGCTTTTGGGATTCATTTACTATCTGTGATGATTGCATACATTCCAGCTGCACTCTGTATTCATTCAGGGAGTAGTTACAGTGGCATGCTTCTTAATTTTTGGTACTCAAGTATAACATGCTAGTTTTGACAAGTCTTCCTCCACTCCTAGTTACTATTAACTCTTTCCAGATAAAACCAGTATGCTATACTAGCAAATTCAAAGAAAATCAGCTAGATCGTATTAATTTTTTTAATGTTAAAAATTGGGGGGTTTACCTGTAAGAGTTTTCTATTAATAAAGTCATTTCTTGCCTGGCTGGTGTGGCTCAGTGGTTGAGCATTGACCCATGAACCAGGAGTTCACAAGTTAGGGCACATGCCTGGGTGTGGGCTCAATCCCCAGTGAGGGGCGTACAGGAGGCAGCCGATCAATGATTCTCATCATTGATGTTTCTGTCTCTCTCTCCCTCTCCCTTCCTCTTTGAAATAAATAAAAACATTAAAAATAAAATAAATTTTAAAATAAAGTCATACCTACTCAGTATGGGTCTCTCGGGATCTCTGAAGATCTTACTGATGTGTGTCATTCTGGAGTTTTTGATTTTGGGATAAATCCATGTAGTTTTTATTCTTTGTTTTTGGTTATAATTGAGACTGTATATTGATAATAAACTTCTTAACTATGTCAATTTCTCTCAGGAATATGGTACCTCATAGCTGTCTTTTTTTTTTTCTATACCCATTTTCTTTGTGATACGTTAAAATCAGGAGTTGTCCGATGAAATTGAAGATTACACTCACCGCTTTAATACTGAAGATCAAGTGGAGTGGAACCTGGTGCTTCAAGAAGTCGCAGCTTTTATCGAGGTCAGTTTTTGACAAGAAAAGTTGTCATAGTTACGGATAAGTAAATTCCTATGGGGTGTACATGTTTACTGTGTGTATATATCAAAAAGGAATAACTTACTAGACTGACGTTTTGTCTTGGCTCTTCTCTCCAGGCAGACCCCGTAATGGTGTTGAATGATGATAATACCATTGTTATCACATCTAACCGCCTTGCTGAAACAGGAGCCCCCCTGCTGGAACAGGGCATGATTGTGGGACAGCTGTCTCTGGCTGACGCGCTCATCATTGGTAATTGTAATAACCAGGTAAAGAACTGTGAAGGAAGTATGCCGAAAACCCACTTTGAAAAATAGTGCTTTTTATTATTACAGGGTTATTATTAATAACCCTGTTGTAAATATCCTAACATCCATTTGTGAGGAAATGGTTAAATAAATTACGCTTTGTCCATTTATGGACTATGTTACAGACATTTAAGTGGTTTAGAAAGAATTTTTAATCACAAAGGAAGATACTCATGATATGGTAAGGGAAAAGAAGTTTGTTATGGAGCTAGTATGTAAACAAAATTACCCCGTGTGTTAAAACGTCTATATACATATATGCATAGGGAAAAGACCAAGGAGAAATTCACCAATATCATTAAAGGTTTACCTCTACCTCTGAATAGCAGAATTATAGGTGGTTTTTATTTTCTTCTTCACAACTTTCCAAATCTGTATATATTGTAATCAGGCAAAAAGAGAGGAGGGTTGTTGTTTTTTTAAAATATGTTTTTATTGATTTTTAGATGGAGAGAAAGAGAGAAACATCAATGAGAAAAACACATCGATCGGTTGCCTCCTGCACACCCATACTGGGGATTGAGCCCACAACCTGGGCATGTGCCCTGACCAGGAATCAAACCCCGGACCTCATGGTCCATGGGATGATGCTCAATCCGCTGAGCGACATCAGCTGGTCAGAGGAGGGGTTATTTTTAGGTACATTTGTCAAAAGCAAATTTCAAATATTTTTTCATGACAGAATAGTTGCATAATTAATTTAATGTACTGGAAATGTAATTTACTGGAAATATGGAATATTGGAAAAGTCACCAGTGAGGATATTTTTCTATGTGCATTACTTATACATTTTAATTTTGGATACTTCCTTACACCTATCATTTTTGTTATTGTTAGCTTTTTCTAGTACTTTTCCAACTTTGGTTTTTATAGCCATTAATTCACAGATTTCTAAATTAGAATGTTTTAATTTAAATACAATGTTGTCTTTTCAAAGTAGAAAAAAGTATGCGTCTTAAACATTGTAAAGTACCAAAATGTAATGAAGAGGTTATAAAATATGGGCCACTGCCATATTTCAGCCTCACTGTTTTGCCAAAAATTAGCAAGTTTTATAGGATCTAAAATAGGTCTCTGTTTACATGACTACTTTTATTTGTTTCTAAAAGTACTTGAGGAAATTGATGGATTGATAGGTATATAGATAGATGGAGAGTATGTGATAAAGCAAATATAGAAAAATGTTAATGTTGTAGGATCTAGTTGATAAGCATATTGGTGTTACTGTATAATTCTTTCAGTCTTCTATCTTTTGAAATTTTTGATAATAAAATCCTGGAAAAGAAAATACCTAGTGTCATTAAGTACACATGAATGTCAAGATTAATAATATGATTAAAGACTTCAAGGTATGCGTTCTGCATCAATGGTCAGGTTTGTGTTCCTTGCAGGTTAAGTTCAGTGAACTAACTGTTGACATGTTCCGGATGTTACAAGCCCTGGAAAGGGAGCCAATGAATTTAGCTTCCCAGATGAATAAGTCAGGAATGCAGGTACCTTCTCCCTACTTTTGCAATTTTGGTAACACTCTTACTGCTTCTGCTCTGCATGGAATGCTATTATCCAACAAATGCTTTGAGGGTGAATAAAGAGTTCCCTTGCCCTGGCGGGGTGGCTCAGTTGGTTGGAATGTTGTCCTGATGCACCAGGGTTACAGGCTTGATCCCAGTCAGAGCACATGCAAGATTCAACCAATGGATAGGTGAAGCAATGGGTCGATGTTTCTCTCTCTCTCAAATCAATCAGTCAATAAATGTTTTTAGAAGAGCTCTCTTGTCAGCACATGCCAAGCTGGTGAAAGGGCAATACTGGCAGGAGCAGAGACCAGGCAGCCCTCAAATGCTGGCTCTGCTCCTGTCTGAGATGACTTTCCAAGTTGGCTCTTCAGACTCTGGCACCACCAAGTTCTTTCTCTATCTCCTCTTTTTAGCCTTTGACTACCCCCCCCACCCCCACTCCTGGAGCTCAGAGAACCTTGACCTCATCTAGGAGGTGCCAAATGGATTCACGAAATACTTGCTAAGTTCTATTGCTGCCTTTGGTAGAAAGTTAATATGCACAGAAGACATAGGAAAAGACATACTAGTTAATATGAAATATTATGGAACCAGAAGAAACTTGCAACTTGGATGAAGGGCAGGCTTTACTTCGAAGTCCCATGAATAAAGGTCCCTGGGTCTCATATATGACTATGTGTAGGTCTGTGGTGGTAGATGTCGTTTTGTATTTTCCAGATTATGGGGGGAGGTGCATCAGGAAAAAAAAAAAGCTGTCTTGATGAAGAATAGGAAATATAGATAAGCATAATAATAGTAACAAAAATATATTTGATGAAGAGGATAGTAAAAATAGGCATTGATAATTCATCTGTCAAATACAGCTTGTATGGATATTATTTTCTGTGTGTAAATACAGGAATCAGCTGACAAGCCTACCAGGCGAGAAAATCCCCACAAGTACCTGCTCTACAAACCCACCTTCAGCCAACTGTACACATTCTTAGCAGCATCTTTTAAGGTATATTTGACCCAGTATTTTTACTATATGGGAAAAGTGTGCCCTGAATGGAATCTGAGAGTCACTCTTCTCTTTGAATATCTGAGTCAAGAATTTAAAGTATGAAATTGAAACTGCCTTTAGTGGTTCTCAACCTTCCTAATGCCGCGACCCTTTAATACAGTTCCTCATGTTGTGGTGACCCCCAACCATAAAATTATTTTTGTTGCTAATTCATAACTGTAATTTTGCTACTGTTATGAATCGTCATGTAAATATCTGATATGCAGGATGTATTTTCATTGTTCGCGACCCACAGGTTGAGAACTGCTGCTTAGAGTATCCTAATCATAGTTATTTTCAGGATGGAAATTGCTTACAGGCTCTGAATGCTTATTGCCATTAATTAATGAGACTATTGCTTAATTACTTTCCTTTCTCCAGGTTTTTATTACTAAACTACTGTAGGTATAAGAGTCAGTGCAGAACTTAAAAATCCGGAGCAGGTTGCTCAGACCTGCTCAGAAATATTTTGGTCATTGAAAGAGCTATGAGGAGTAGGGAATTCCTCCCAAAGTTTAATAGTGAAAGCCATAGATGGGAGTTTGTCTTTTAGACGTCTCTATAGTCAGGATATTTACTTCTCCATTTCAAGTTTTCCAGAGGACATTTTCTAAATGATGGGCGTTTTAAAGCAGAGAATGTCTTAAAAACGTTTGGCAGTCATTGTAGATTGTAGATTATAATGAATCTTGGCTGGGTAGACAGGAGTTGGAACCAGCAAGAGTGGCTCTTCTCTTGGAGAAGACAGTAGTATGTTAGATTAGGTGCTTGTTTTCCCCACACCTTTAAAGTGTCATGAGCTTTAAATGAAACTGTTGTTTTCCCTGTTTGTTGTTTTGTATATGTGATTTTTTAAATTTCAGGAGCTGCCTGCCAATAGCGTGCTTCTGATTTACCTGTCAGCCACTGGCGTTTTCCCAACAGGTCGTTCTGATAGTGAAGGTACAATAAAGGAATGCTCCTGTGTGAGCCGGGCTTGAATTCTCTTTATTTTCTACAAGACGATGGCCTGTAGCCCACAGACCATCTCCAGCTTTCTAGAGAGGCTTCTAAATTGGAAACCTGGTCTATTTGTTGAATTGGCAATGTTATAGATACCTCAGTCTATTTTATTTTCTGAAATATTATACATTGAACTCCACAAATCATCAGCAAATTCATATACTAAATGTGTGTGCCTCACTATCAGATTTGCCAGAAGCACACATACATATGAAATAACGAAGCCTAATGATCTACTTCACATCATTAAAATTTTCTGAGCCTTCAGTGCTTTAGGGAATCTGGTCAGCGGCTTCATGTGGCTGAAAGTCTTTGTAGAAATCAGTACACTTTTGTAACTGTGAAAGTTCAAGTCCTTGTCATGATTTTGTTTTCTGTCCTTTCTTTATTTGGTTTTTATGGATTCAACCTATAGAATATTGGGATGCTGTTTCAGAATAAAAACTTAAAACTGTCCAGAATAAATGAGTCCAGAATATATGAAATTGGTCAGAATAGGTGAGTAACTGGGATGTAAATGAGGCATTTAAATCTCTGTCTGGACAAAAAAAAATTTTTTTCCTTAACATCCTTAACATTTTCCTCCTCATGTTTGTTGAAATTTGCATTCCTTTATACAATGCATGTCCCTGCCATCTTCCTTGCATGACCTACAGATCCTCTTAATGTGGTAAAATGAAAACAAAACAAAATAAAAAACCTCAAAGCCTTTTCATTGCAGTGCTTTTTTAAGGGATAAAATATAACAGCATTAAATGTGGTGTGAAGTCATAAACTAATTTCTTGTAGTAAAGTTTATTTTATTTATAAATAATTATTTCTATTTTTCTACTGTTGAATCAGATTTTCTGGGCCCCTGCTTAATATATTGACCCCATTTTACTTTTTTCAAAGTACATTAGTACTGCAATAGGCACTAATTGAGTAATCCTTTGAGAGAAATTATTCCTAACACCCCTCGGTTGCTGTGCCATTTGGACAGGCGTTTAACTAACTGATATAACCAGTGGGCAAAGGCTAACTTCAAAACTGGAACTACAGTGGTTGGTGTAATAGTGATAATGGATTTTTTCACACACTGAAACTTGTTAATTATTTTCTTAAAAATAAAGATTTTTTCAATGAGAATTTTGAAGTTTTATTTCACTTTTTTTTCTAAATTTTACAATTAATGGCTTACTTACACTTTTATTTAATAAATTATTAGGACATCAGTCTGCAATTTTTCACATAAACAGTTTTGTTAAACCTGATGTTTTAATTTTGCTTGAAATGTAAAGATCATTTTGAGCATCTCAGATCTGCATCACTTTTATTGCCCGGAATAATGGGGTGCCGTGGATTCTTGTTTTGTTTCTCATTATATTCTGTTTGAAGAACTGATGAGTAGTTAAATGATTTTTTTAAATGTTGAACTAGGCAACATGCTGAAATCATTTAAATACTGTATTAAAGGAGAATGTTAAATTTTAAAATAATTAAAATGTTTTGTAATTATTTTCCACTTGTATCAGGGAGAGATTCACATAATACCTTTGAACATCAGAATCATGTTACTCTCTGATTGAAGTCTAGGATTCTTCCCTTTGTTTTCATAGGTCCTTATGATTTTGGAGGGGTTCTTACTAATAGTAACCGGGATATTATAAATGGAGATGCCATGCACAAACGCAATCAATCCCACAAAGAAATGCACTGGTATGTATTCTAGTGTCTCCCTATCATAAAAATTGTAGCTCTCTCCTATGAAATATTAAGTGAAATGGGGACTTTTCTGGTACTAGAAATGTTCTCTTAGGCTACTGTTAATAACACTTATTTGGATTCTAGCAATACTTCCATCTTGACTATCCTAGGAAATTAGAATTTTGGGCTGATACATATTTTTCATTGAATATCAGTTATATGTCAGGCACTGTTCACACACACACACACACACACACACACACACACACACACAGTCCACTAAGCTAGAAAGAGCATATACACCAAGATTGTGATCTTCTTAGGCAGTGGCTCTCATTCTTGTTACTGGACTTTCAGCCTTTGGGTCTAGTAGATCTTCTATGGGCCAGTGAATCTAGATGTTTAAGAAGCACCCAACTGATTCTGATGCAATATCCAGAGAAAAGATAAAGAATAGTAAAGGGAAGCCCCTATTATTTTCTGAAATATTAAGATATAGCTTGAAAATAGGTATAGATTTTGAAAAACTCATTGAAATACAAATCTGGTTGTGTTTTACATGTTTGTCTTAAAAGTATGTTTTTAAATGGGCTTTTAAATACTAAAGTACCTAAATGCTGGCTTCTGAGATTTTCACGTTGTATGTTTTAGATATTTTTGTGAAATAATTATCTCTGAATTTTTTTCCAAATGAAACTTAATACAGAGATTTTTTGTCTTTTGCTTAGTTAATCTTTGTTTTTCTCTTGTGCTACGATGAAAAGGAGACGTGAGCAGACCAAACTGAAGAAGAAAAATTCTAAGACTTGGCGGTATAGTTACTCAGTTATTTATCATTATTATTGTTTTCCCAGCCTCCATCCTGGAGATCTCTACCCCTTCACGAGGAAGCCCCTGTTTATCATCGTGGATTCATCCAATAGTGTCGCATACAAGGTGAGTTCCATGAGCTCCAGGGCACGTGTTAGACATTATGGCAGCACCCTGAGGTAACCAGTCTTAACATGTGCCTTTTTATTTTGCTTTATTTTATTTCATTTTACACAGTTTGTATTTAGTCTTTCTTTTCTTTTGAGGTTGTGCATGCTAGTCAGGATCTGGTGCTATGAATAGAAACAAGAAGAAAACGCATGAATGGACACTCAGTGGAAAATAATAAATCCTCCTGCAGGAAAAAAAATTCAAGATTCCCAAGATCTCTGGTGGAAGGTTGACTTTTGTTGTATAACCCAGAATAATTTTCTTTTATAGAGGTAGAAGTATGTGGGCACATTTTATTTTCTAGTTTTGAGACCTTTTCCCCATCTACGCACTTGAGCTGCTATGGTTTAAGTGCCATGTCTTACAGTTACAGCCACTGAATATCAAAATAGTTTTACATGCACTTATTTAAAAAATTGTGAAAAATAAGTAAAATGCTGAAATAAGTGACAAGGATATAACTTGAAAATCCTTTGTTTTATATTTTGCTATTGAAGCAATGTTTTTCAGTGATTATATAAAGAACAGCAGCAAAACACACTTTAAAGTAGGATAGTAGATTTCAAACTATAGTAATTTACAGGAAAATAAAAACAGAATTTTTGGAGTCCTTTGTATGTGGTTGGAATATTTCATTAGTGAACAATATGTTCAGAAATATGCTTGGATCTGCATATTAAAACTGCCAATTAAAACTGTTTTTGTTGTGGATGTTCATATAATTAGATGGAGAAGCAAGCATTGGTAGGTTTATTTCAGGAGAGCAGTGGAAGTGTCTGGTAGCCAAGGGAGCTGACCTCAAGCATATATTTTTCATCTAATTTTTATGTTTAGTTTCACTTTTTAAAGTCTGAATTCCAAGAGCAACCAACCTACCCTAAACTTTTCAGCATATTGCCTGAAAAGTCAAGTTTACAACTTTGATTTTGGGGAAAACTAGCTGACACTTTTCTTAAATCTGGTGTATGTTGTTGTTTTTAATCTTTTTGAAGGGGTGAGAGGTTGCTGAAGGAAAAGTTTATTAGCTATCCCTTCTAAACTTATAAAACCAGAGGAGTCCAGGCATTGGTGTCTTCACAGAATTCCCAAGAAGCATCTGTGCCTTTGTCAAAGGAATTGTTTGCTACAGTTTAAAGATGTGACAGGATATGTTGATGCACCCGGTCAAATGTATTGTGTATATGCTCCAGCATGCATTGGGAGTGTTTTAGCAACCTAGTAATGTCTCTCAGCCTACCTGGATATTATTTGATAGCACCTTTTATAATGTCAAAATATCTTTCATGATATGTGCCAGCTGTTCCCACAGTGCACAGGATGATGCTCCAACCAGCTGAGCCACACCAGCCAGGACTGTCAGTGATCACTTTAAAAGTTCTCCCTGCTGTCTGTTTCCTCCAGGCTGATGTGTTTCTGTTTGTTTTGCCTGCATATATCATATTAGAGACTTTCCTCAGAGTATTGTAATTTTTGCCTATCTGCTCAGATATAAGAGTGGAAGCTAGGAAAATAGAATCTCTGAGGTGGTGAATCGGGCTTGTCATGCTGAGCTGCTCAGTCTAGTTGGGCCAGTTAGTTGGTTAGTCTCTGATGTGTCTTTAGGTCTGTCTTCATGGTCTCGTTATATTCCCCAGAGCAGACTCAACGATTCTGCCTGGAATGTAAAGGTTTGATGATCAGCACTAGGCTATGTTTTCCCTCAAGTCTCTGTGTATGTGTTTATATGTGTATGTACATGTATCTTTATGTCCCCAGGCCTCACACCTAAAAGGTTCTTAGTAAATATATGTTGAATGCTTAAGTGAAGATAGGTACTATTATCCTTATAGTTGAGGAAACTTTGCCTATGGAGATGAACTAACCTGCCTAACCGATCCCAGCGGTTTTTGTCATTCCAAAACCCCAGCTCTTTCCACTTTGGAAAAGAGGAGCTTTGCATGCTTGTCTGAGCCTCATTGCAGAGGAGAGTGACAGAAATGCCAAGATCTGTGTAACGTCTGGCCCACGGTGTGGTTCTCAGATTTCCACTAGAGAAGAGGCGAGTAGAAGTGGCCTTGTCTGTACTAAGGTAGTACTAGTGGGAATGAAAAAAATCACATGGTCATTCTGAGCACTTTTTTTAGGTCTGCCTTCTTTTTTTTGAAAGAACAACCTTTGAGTGTTTTAGTAATTATGACAAGGCTGGATCCCTGCCAGTGAACATGAATTACTCATTTGTCAGACAGTCATATTTATCTAAACAGCCTTATCCTCGTTGACTGATGGCTGCAGGTTGCTGCAGTCTATTAAGGCAGTCTCTCTCCTAGCAAGATTATGAAAGCTCTTCTGCCAGTCAGCCTCACACATTCTGTTTCTTTCCTGCTCCTTTGAAAGTTTTTGGCATTCTGTAGTTACACTGTGAGTTCTAGGTTTTGTTTCTTTAGAGTTAATCTATTGGGACTTGTTAGACTTCTTGAATGGGAAGGTTGGGGTTTTTCATAAATGCTGGAAAATTCTCAGTCATTGTCTCCTCAAACACTGGCTGTACCCCAACTTTTCTCTCATCTCCTTCTGGAACTTTGATTATATACATACTAGAGGCCCGATGCATGAAATTCGTGTGTGTGGTGGGGTGTCTCTCAGCCCGGCCGGGCCCTCTCACAATCTGGGACCCCTTGGGGGATGTCCGACTGCCGGTTTAGGCCCAGACAGACAGTGGGCCTAAACCGGCAGTCGGACATTCCTCTCGCAATCCGGGACCCCTTGCTCCTAACAGGCCTCCTGCTCGCTCCTTACCACTTGGCTTGCTACTCCTTAATGCTGCCATGGAGGCAGGAGAGGCTCCTGCCACCACCGCTACACTTGCCAGCTATGAGCCCGGCTTCTGATGGAGCGGTGCTCCAGCTGTGGGAGCGCACTGACCACCAGGGGGCAGCTCCTGCATTGAGCATCTGCCCCTGGTGGTCAGTGTGTGTCATAGCGACTGGTCATTCTGGTTGTTCTGCTGTAACGGTCGCTGGGCTTTTATTATATAGACTAGTTCATAGCATTCTCACTGTCTTCTACATCTCTTAACTTCTATATTTTCCAACTTTTTTTTCTCTGTTTGAGATTTGGATAATTTCTTCTGAGCTATCTTTCAATTTACAAATTCTTTCTTTAGCAGTGACTAACTTGCTATTAAACCCATATGAGTTATATGTTGGTTGTGGTTACTTTCATTTCTAGAAGTTCTCTGGTTCTTGGCTCCTGGGTCTAAGCATATAGTCATACATCAGTGTATGTATTACAGTAAAGGGATACAGAGCAAAATTAGCAAAGGAAAAAGGTCCATAGGATGAAGTCCAGAGCAAAATAGGCTCAAACTTCCAAGAGTTTTCTCCCACAGTCATACAGGATGTCCCTGCTTCCCCAGCAACAAGTTGAGACAACACGGCTGAAGTGTCTACCAGGGCAGCTCATGAGGGACTTGTTGCCCAGGATGTTTATTGGAGAGTGATCACACCAAATGCCAATCTCCCAGAAAGAAAGCAGGTGTTCAACATAAACCATCCTGTTTGCACAGTCTGGGTAAAGTGAGCCATTCTTATCGGTTCTGCTAATGGTGGCAACTCACCCAAATCTAAGTTCCCAGAAGCCAGCCAAGGGCCGAACCTTGTAAGCAGGCCTTTCAAAGGATAGCAGTCAGGTTTGTTATGCTAACCCTAACTCTTTTTACACAGTTTTAAAAAAAATCAGATGAGAAGTTGATCAGCAAGGGAAGCAAAGAAAAAGGAAGCCTTGGGACATAAGTAGCGGCAGTGTTCCTTTTGGCACTATCCAGAGCAAGAGCCTCATGGCCAAGGATGCGAGGCCGTCCGCAGTGTGGGAGAGTGCCCCCGCTGCCTTATCTGAAGGGTGCGCCTTAATATCATTCAACTTACTCCCTTTGTTTTGATTACAAGAAATTTCTCATTTATTTTAACTATTTGTTTAAGTGTTTGTATTGATATTTACAAAGTCATAAAATCCAAAAGGCATATAGTGAAATCTCTTCATCCCTCCCAGACCCAGTTCACTCAGTTACTGGCTCTCCCTATAAGTGATCACTGTTGTCTGTTTCTTGTTTATCCTTCTAGAAAAAAAATTTAAACTCATATATAAGCCAAAACACATACATAGCCTTTAGTCTTCTTTGCTATATAAATGGTAATAACATGACATACACAACTGCTCTATCTTACTTTTTTTCACTACTAAGAAATGTTGGAGATCTATCCATGTCCATTCATAAAGAACTTAATTCTCTCTTGTAGCTGCATAGTATCCTGTGGTATGGTTGTACCATAATTTATTCTACCAGTCTCTTATTGCTGGTCATTTGGTTGTTTCCAGTCCTTTGCTATTAGTAACAATGCTACATGAAATAATTTAGGACTTACAGATTTGAGAGTATATTGACAGGGTAAGTTCCAAGTTGTGGAATTGCTGTGTTAATGGAATATGCATTTGAATTTAATAGATCCTGCCAAATTGTCTCCTAAAAAATTTGTACTAATATATACTCCTATTTATGGGTATTTGTTTTCCCATGTTTTTGCCAATAGCATATATTTTCACCTTTTAGTATATGTGCTGCCGAAGAGAGCACTATATTTTCAAACTTTTAGAAATTTTACTAAACTGATATATTAAAAATGGTAATTTCGTGTAGCTTTGATTTTCTTTTATCAGTAAGATTGAGTACCTTTCATACATTTGAACCAATTGTATTCAGTTTTCTATTCTCTTGTTATCTTTCACCCATTTTTCTATTGAGTCAGTAGACGTTTTCTTACGGATTGGGAGAAGTTATTTCTATATTAAAGAGATTAATCCTTTGTAATGTGATGCAAATATATATCCCAGAACATCATTTGGCTCCTGATTTAGTTTATGCTGTATTTTACTATATATAAGCCTTGATTTTTGTGACTAGGTTTATTAATCGTAATCATAATAGGAAGATCTTCTAGGTTACAAAAATAACCCTTTCTTATATTTTCTTTCAGTACTTTTATTGTTTAACTAGAGGCCCAGTGCACGAAATTCGTGCCCTGTGGGGGCGGTCCCCTCAGCCCAGCCTGTGCCTTCTCGCAGTCCAGGACCCCTTGGGGGATGTCCACCTGCCAGCTTAGACCCGATCCCTTCAGACATCCCTCTCATAGTCTGGGACTCTCACAGTTCGTGACCCCTTGCTCCTTACGGCCCACCTGCAACAGAGACGGGAGAGGCTCCTGCCATCACCACTGTGCTCATCAGTCATGAGCCCAGCTTCTGGCTGAGTGGTGCTCCCCCTGTGGGAGCAGACTGACTACCAGGGGGCAGCTTCTGCATTGAGCGTCTACCCCCTGGTGGTCAGTGCATGTCATAGTGACCAGTCATTCTGCCGATTCTTCCACCGTTCAGTTGATTTGCATATTAGAGTTTTATTATATAGGATATTTTACATTTAAATCTTTGACATATTTTATCCTAGTGTGTGTTGGAAGTATAGACCCAACTTTTTTTTCTACATGGCTATCCAGTTTTTCCTACCAATTTGAATTGTCATCCTTATCATATATATTCAGCCCTAACTGTTTTGGGATCTAATTCTGTACTCTCCATTCTCTTCCATTGGTCTTCTGCCCACTCTTAGGCCAGGCCCACATATTTTTAATTACTGAGGCTTTAAAGTATGTTTTAATATCTGATGAGTCTTGTTCTCTCTCATCTCTTCTTTTGAATGCAGAGTTTTCCTGACTCGTCTACTTTTTCTTTATGAACTTTAGAATTATTTTTTTCAGTTGCAGGGAACTGAACCATTTTTTTTTGAGGTTGGTTTACGTTTTAATAAATTAGTGTAATGACATCTTTAGAATGGGTTCCTGTCTAAGAACATAGTATGTCTTTCCATTTGTCCTAGTCTTTATTTTTATAATTCAGGAAGTTTTAATTTTTGTTTTGTTCACATCTATTAAGTTCTGTCTTGTTTTACCAACCAGTTTATAATATTACTAGAGGCCTGGTGCACAAAATTCGTGCACGTGGGGGGGGGGGTCTCCCTCAGATCGGCCTGTTCCCTCTTGCAATCCGGGAGCCCTCGGGGGATGTCTGACTGACGGCTTAGGGGGGAGCAGGCCTAAGCCATCAGTCGGACATCCTTAGCACTGCCGCTGGGAGAGGCTCCCGCCACCGCTGCTGCGCTCTGCCAGCTGTGAGCCCTGCTTGTGGCTGAGTGGCGCTCCCCCTGTAGGAGCGCACTGATCACCAGGGGGCAGCTCCTGCATTGAGTGTCTGCCCCCTGGTGGTCAGTGCACATCATAGTGACCAGTCGATTTGCATGTTAGCCTTTTATTATATAGGATTTCCCATGTAAATCTGCCTTTAGGGAAAGGATATGCTGAAATCATGCAAAGAGTATTTTTTGAGTGTCAGTTTAGTTCTCACTGTAAATTAACATTATTCTGAGTGAGCAGGTAATGTGATTCACAGTGAGAGATGGATCTACGCTTCAGACCAGTGAGTCAGGTTTTAGAGCCTGTGAGGCTGAGAGCCAGGCCTTAGACCTTGGAAAATTCACCCTTGTGAATTCAGCTTCATCGTGTATATTGCCCAGTGGGTGGCCTCTTGGTAGATGGCCAGATGACCTCTCCTTGTAACACTGCAACCGTATCTATGCCTTTATTTTAACAATCGGTATTTCACTTAGTAAATGTCACTATTTTAAGAAAGCCTATCATGCATAGTAGTTTATACATGAATGGCAGCCTCTTCAGCTGTTACTGATGTTTCTGCAGCTGCTTATGAGTCAAAGAGCCCAATCTGAACACTGATGATATGCTTCGGAAAATTACTATCTTTGGTCAAACCTTTAATGAACATTTTAATTCTTATATATTGCAGAATTTCACAAACTTATTTGGACAGCCACTAGTCTGCTTGCTTTCTCCTACAGCATATCCAAAAGCTTTACAAGGTATGTTCTGTCGTTACCTCTTACATCCATAGGTTACAAGTAAACACTGTCTACATTTTGAATAATACTGATCTTTGTTTTCCCACCGATAATGTGGATTTATGGTGTTTAATGTGGCAGGTGTCAATCTGAAATCAACCCAGAAGTCTTGCCAACTACCAGACGTCTTTAATGTGCTTCCATTAGGCCTTTAGACAGTTCTCAAAGAAATAGCAAAACGTTCCTGAGAAAAGGGTGGTTTTGGGCCTTACTTGTGGAGAACTCATGATTTATGAATTTTAAAATGTGTTCCGCAGCTGCTTGTTTGGGTGAGCTTGTCCTCTTCCATCTGGCATGATGTCCTGTATCACCAGCCACACAGTTAGGCATCGTTTAAAACTGTAAGGTTTCTTGTTGAGAAAACTTCTTAGCCTCTGCCTAAGAGTTAGGGTATCCTAACCGGCACAACCTAAAGGGCTTCTTTTATTCACATTTTACCTTGTTGTATTTTTAAAATAAAAGAACCTCTTCTCAGTGTGATGGAGAGATAGTTCAGGGTTCTAGCCGTTTCTCAGATGAAGAGGAAATGAAAGACTTTTACTAATTTGTCCTTAACTGGCAGTCCATGCAGCCTGTTCCAGCGCCCAGTCATTAAGCTGGTAAGATATTCAACAAACCTTGCCGCTGTCTTAGCAGTGCTGTCACCATTTCACTGTCCCCCTGACTGTGAATAGTGCTGCTGTTCCCCTGTGGGAGAGGGCATTTCACTGCCACTTCCCAGCCAGAAGTCTTGTCTGCTGACATAGTTTGACACAGGAAGTGATGGTCAGCATTTGAATACCTGAGAGAAGCTGGAGACTTTTCACCGTTGTTTCAAGGTAAGTTCTGTTGTTTTACAGGGAAAAACATGTAGAAATGCTAAGTTCCTCTATCCAAAAGTTCAGTTACTAAGGGATAGAACTTACCTCCAAACAACGGTAAAATTCTCCTGCTTTGAGAACTCTGTTAGCCTGTTGCTTATCATTTCTGGAGAAGTGTACCCCCTTCCAGTTATTTGAGAGTACTTTTTGCTATCATTTTCTTATCAAAAGGCAGCTTTATCCTGGCTGGTGGGTGTAGCTCAGCGGTTGAGCATTGATCCAGGAACCAAGAGGTCACCGGTTTGATTCCGGGTCAGGGCACATGCCCAGATTGCAGACTCAATCCCCAGTAGGGGGCGAGTAGGAGGCAGCTGATCCATAATATTTCTATCTCTCTATCCCTCTCCTTTCCCCTCTCTAAAATTCAATAATAATATGTGTTGTTTTTTAAAAAAGAGGCAGCTTTAGTTTAAATTGCAGGGTCTAACCCAGTGGTCGACAAACCACAGCTCGCGAGCCACATGCGGCTCTTTGGCCCCTTGAGTGTGGCTGTTCCACAAAATACCGCATGCGGGCGCGCATGTACAGTGCGACTGAAGCTTCGTGGCCCATGCGCAGAAGTCGGTTTTTGGCCTGGGCGAAACAAGTATACAAGACGAGTGTGGATGGGAGAGTTGGAAGGGGTCGACCTCAGCGAACGTACCTCAATCAGATTGAGGACATTTTTAGCAAAGGCCAGCTTAGGAGTACCCTAATTAAGTTAATAACAATGTACCTACCTATATAGTTTAAGTTTAAAAAATTTGGCTCTCAAAAGAAATTTCAGTCGTTGTACTGTTGATATTTGGCTCTGTTGACTAATGAGTTGTCCGACCACTGGTCTGATGGGTTAATGGTAAGATTATTTGGTCTGAAGGCTTTATTATGTACTAGTATAGGGTAAAAACCAGGCTCTGGAGGCAAACGGATTGAATTTGAATCCCAACTCAGCCGCTTACTAGCTGTGTGATCTTGGGAGGTTCCTTAGCCATCCTGTGCCTCAGTTTATTTCCTATCAAATGGAGATAATAATAGCATCAGCCAAAAAAAAAAAAAATAGCATCAGCCTCATAAAATAATTCAGAGTATATAAAAAGCATTCAGTATGTGCCAACTGTCGTTATTACTAATACGCTTGGTTGTAATATATGTCCTTAATATTTTTTAGTCCAGTATCATCTTTTGTGCTATAAAGCTTAGGCCTCTAATCCCTAAATATGCCCCCTCTGGACACAAACTAGTCGATACCTAAGTATTTGGAATCTCAAATTAGATTCCTGCACCTCTGGTATCTAAAAGTCTACAGTGTTTGTTTTTTTTCTCTCTTTTTTTTCTTTATTGATTAAGGTATTACATATGTGTCCTTATCCCCCCATTATCCCCCCCTCACCCCCCATCATGCCCTCACCCCTCTGGTGTCTGTGTCCATTGGTTAGGCTTATATGCATACAGTGTTTTCTTTATCCAAGAGTTATTTCATACATTCAACAAGCATTTATTCAACGTTTATTTATCAGGTACAGTGCTAGGCATTGGAGGTGACGCTCGGACCAGACAAACAGAGTCAGTTTCTCACAGAACCAGTTGTCTAGTAGAAGATACAGACAACCTGACAGTCACTGTCGATGCTGTTAGTGTCTCATAGGAGGAAGCCTGTGCCACACTTGAGGAACTCCTAACCTGCCTTTGAGATTGAAGAAAGTGCATGAGATGATGTCTGAAGTGGAGTTGAAGGATGCGTAGAATTAAATGAGCATGGGAAATGGTTGAAAATTGGTATTCTAGCAGAGAAATAGCATGTGAGCCCTGAGATAAGAGCTCTGAGATGAGAGAGTTTATGGAACATGTAGATAAATTAAAAGTAGTTTCTGCTAGTTAAAGGGCAGAGTTTGTGATTGTGGGACTGGATTATGAAAAACCTTTTATGATTCAAATAAAGGATAGTGGGGTGCCATTGAAAGATTTTAAACGGCAATAAAATAAAAAGGCATTCAGTTTACCTTGTGTAAGGTGAATTGGACAGGAGCATTGATGGAAGTAAAGAGATCGTGGTGGCTGAGCTAGGACAGTGACTGGTTACCTGGCTTCAAAAGGTGCCAACCCAGAGAACCAACAGGACTTGGTGATGGTGAGGAAATGAGAGAGAGGAAGAGGCGGAATGGACTTCAGGTTTCTGGCTGAGATGCTGCAGAAATAATGATACTAAATAACAAGTAGATTTATAAGACAACCAAAAGGGGGGGAAATTGTTGTCAACTTTTGACATGTTGAGTTTGAAGTTACCTTTGAGAGTTAGGTTGATTATAGAGGTCTAGAGCAGTTCTGTCCAATAGAAATATTATGGGAGTCGCCTATGTAATTTTAAGTTTTCTAGTAGCCACGTTTTTGTTTTAAAGTAGAAAGAAACTGGTGAAATGAATGTTAATAATGTCTTTTTGTACTGATGCTTTGAAATCCTATGTATAGGATGTATTTTACACTCTGTAATGTGTCTGTTTGGATCAGTCACATATTTAATTCTTTAAGTGTCCAGCATCTACTGTAAGGCAGCACAGTTCTAGAACTAATGTAGGCTGCAAATGGAGAACTGGGAGTCAGTAGGCATATAAATGATAACCGAGATTATAAGAGTAGGTGAGATCAGCAATGTATCAGGCCAAAGAAAAAAAAAGATTGATATTTAAGGGATAGGTGGAGATAGAATAACTCACAAGAGTGAAAAAGACTGGCAATCCTAAAACTCATCAAAGAATTCTATCATGAACTGCCTGTGATCCAGTCCTTGCCATATTTGGGTAAAATTTGTTAGTTGGAGGGAAAAAGGCAAAGAAATATGTTCATGTCCTATTTCTCTTTAGTTTACTAGGCTCTAAAGTTAGTTCAGCAAGAAAGCAATATGCCTGGGACATGTTTTGTAGTTCCTTGCAGAATCTACTTTGTTGAATTAAGACTTAATGATATAGCTTTAATTTTATACATTATCAGTGTATTAAAATGTTCCTCAAATGCACCTCTTACCTTTTGCAAAACTGTTTTCTATATAAATATATAAAACATGTTTGTTATTGCAGATCAATCTCAACGAGGTAGCCTCTTCACACTCTTTTTGAACAATCCTCTAATGGCCTTCCTATTTGTCTCTGGATTGTCAAGCATGCGCAGAAGCCTGTGGGAAAAGTGTCAAGAATACCTTCGAAAAATCAACCGCGATATTGCCCAGCTACTGACCCATTCACGTTCAATAGGTACCCTACTAACCTAACTGCACACGTGACAGAACGTACTGTAATGGTTTAAAATTGCTTGAATTGTTTGAATTTTTAGAGGTATTTGTTGAAGGCAGGAAAGTTGGGAAAGTTTTCCTGAACTTGCCTTCCCCTTGGAAATGTATTTTCCCTTCAAGCATCTTTTTACTGCCCCTTTCTCCTCTTTGCAGATCAGGCATTCCTCCAGTTTTTTGGAGATGAATTTCTTCGCTTGCTTCTCACAAGATTTGTCTTTTGTTCAGCCACCATGAGGATGCACAAGATTTTTCGGGTAAGCAAAGAATATTTTAATGACCAATCTTACCATTTTAGTTATGTAACCATCATGTATTATATTTTACCTGTATTAAAGAGTTTGGATAGATCCAAAATCATATTCACAAATTAATGTGTAAAGTATTAAAGATGGACAAAATAAGCAACATTTGAGTACCCACCACCCAATTTAAGAAATAGAACATTTTCATTACCTTTGAGGTCCCTTGTAGGTCCTCCCTTATCCTATCTTCCTCTCAAATGAAACTAAAATTCTGATTTTTATAATTTTCATTCACTTCCCTTTAAAGTTTTGCCACATGTATTTGTATTCCTACACAACATATTGATGGATCCATATTTTATGTATTCTACAACTTGCTTTTTTTCGCTCTTTATTATAGTCCTGAGATTCAGGCATGGTGATGACTGACTATAGCTTTTATTCATTTGTTTTCACTGCTATATAGGATTTTATGTTTTGACAGATGTAGCTCAAATTACTCATCTTATTTTATTGATAATGGACATTTGAGTTATTTCCAGTTTTTAAATATTATAAACAATGCCATTGTGAAATCTTCAATAATTTTCCTGGTATACATATATAAGACTTTTTCAGAGGAATACATAATAGTGGAACGTGAGGTCAGACGATTTAGGTATATTCAACTTTACTAGGTAGTGCCAAACATGTTGTAAAGTGGTTGTATCAATTTACATGGTACTAGCAGTGTGTAAGAGTTGCAGTTGCTCTAATCCTTGTCAACATTTGTTGCAGTTATACTTTATAGTCTACTAGAGGCCCAGTGCACAAAAATTTGTGCACTCGGGGGGTGGGGTCAGCCTGGCCTGTGCCCTCTCGCAGTCTGGGACCCCTTGGGGGATGACCACCTGCTGGCTTAGGCCTGCTCCCCGGGGGATTGAGCCTAAGCTGGCAATCAGACATCCCTCTGGCAGCCTGGCAGCCCTCAGGGGATGTCTGCTTGCCAGCGGGGAGCAGACCTAAGCTACAGTTGGACATCCTTAGTGCTGCTGAGGAGGCAGGAGAGGCTCCCACCACCACCGCTGTACTGGCAGCTGTCAGCCTGGCTTGTGGCTGAGCAGAGCTCCCCCATGTGGGAGTGCACTGACCACCAGAGGGCAGCTCCTGCATTGAGCGTCTGCCCCCTGGTGGTCAGTGTGTGTCATAGTGACCAGTCATTCCCAGTCTTTCTGCTGTTAGGGTCAGTTTGCATATTACCCTTTTACTATATAGGATAGAGGCCTGGTGCACGGGTGGGGGCTGGCTGGTTTGCCCTGAAAGGTGTCCCGGATCAGGGTGGGGGGTCCTGCTTGGGTGCCTGGCCAGCCTGGGTGAGGGGCTGATGGCTGTTTGCAGCTGGTCACACCCCCTTCAGGGAGGGGGTCCCCACTGGGGTGCCTGGCCAGTCTGGGTGAGTGGCTGAGGGCCGTTTTCAGGCTGGCCTGCTACTGAAGCTCCCAGCCTCTCCTTTTTTCTTTTCTTTTTTTTTATTCTGGGATTTATTTACCTTCTATAATTGAAACTTTGTTGCCGTCCTGCTTGCTCCAGCTCTGAGGCCACGGCTGGCTGAAAGCAGGTATCTGGGATTTGTTTAGCTTCTATAATTAAAACTTTGTTGCCTTTGGAGCTGTTGCTTTCGGAGCTCAGAGCCAGGCCGCGGCAGGCGGGGAACCTTGGCTTCCTCCATCACTGGAGCAAGCAAGCCTCATGTTCGCGTCAGCTGCGTGGCTGCCGGCCGCCATCTTTATTGGCAGTTAATTTGCATATCTTGCTGATTAGCCAATGGGAAGCATAGCGGAGGTACGGTTAATTGCCCTTTTTGTCTTTTATTAGATAGGATGTGAAGCAGGTGGGTGTAAAATAGTAGTAGCTCATTGTGGTTTTAATTTGCATTTCTGGAATTACTGTTGAGGCTCAGCAACTTTTCATGTGTTATTCTGTGTTCTTCTTTGTGATGAAGAGTGTGTTCAAGTCTTTTGTCTGCTTGGTTCTAAGTAGTTTGTTTTTTTCTGTGTATTCAGGTAACTATAAGGCACTGTTCATTGAGGTTTTTAAATTTTTAGCTATTATACTTTTCATTTCTCTCAATATATTTATGTTTTCATTGTGCTCTTGAATGTGTAATAGGTAAAGTCCTTATCTGCTAACACTATCTCTATCAGTTATAGTTTTATTTTTATTGTTTTTCCTACTGGTTATGGGTCTCATATTCTAATTTGTACGCCTAGCAATTTCCTTAAACTGTGGGCACTGTGAATTTTATGATGTCGAATTCTGGATTTTGTTGTCTTTCTATAAAGAGTGTTAGAAAGAAAAAAGAAGAATGTTAGACTTTGTTCTGGCAGGAGTGAACTTATTTGCAAATTTGTTTGACCTTTTCACAGCTTGTTTTTTAAACTTATTAGGGTGGATTTAGAGTAGTGTTAGCATATAAATAGAAACTTATTTCAGTCTAAAACGAAGAAGTGTGATTCTTTGGGGGTCTCTTTCATATGTCCCATTTCAACAGATACTCTCCACTCCGGCGAATGCTTGCTCAGAACTCAAACATCTCCCATCCCTGTGTGAGCTGAGAGAATTATTGAGCTTACAGTAGTCCCCCAAGTAGTTTTTGGGGTTTTGTTGTAGTTTTTAGGGTTTTTGAACATTTTATCTTTATCACTCATAATAATTAGTATAGTAAAACAGAAATTTGGTCTTTGTAATGTGTAATGAGTGAGGCTTGTAGGAATAAGAGAAATAGAAATGACATTTGAGTATAGGACATGTCCTGTGAGATGCGTAGAAAAGTGACAACTTCTTCAGAAAATTTTAAATGTGTGGCAGAATTATGGTCTATAGAAATTACCAAATGAAGACAAAATTCCCAATGAGAATTACCTGATTCTTAAAATCATCTTCTTTTGCTTTCATGTAATTACAGAATTATTATTTTCTTTTTTATTACTTTTTCTGTTCTTTTTTTTATTTTTTCTGAACTTTCATCTCCCTTTTTAGGAACTCTTTCTTTTTTTACTCTTTGTTAATATTCTTAGAAATCTCATGTATTTTTATGGCTGCAATATTTCTCTCCATGCAGATTACATCAGTGTTTACAGATACTGCTCAAACTTGTCTTCTAAAATACAGCCCTAAATTTTCAAATTCTGGTTGAGAAGCAGTTCTATTTTTACTACCCTGTTACCACAAATAAAAAATACCTAAAACCTGAAGCTTTCTACTATCCCCAAATCATCTTCTCTTTTACTTCTCTTTCTCTCAGTTGTTCCCAACCCTTCTCTCAAGTCCTGAAATCTTAGTCATTTTGACACCTCCCTCTCCTGTAGTTAATTTCAAAGGCTCATTAATTTGACCTTCTCAGTGCTTCTCATGGTTTTTCTCTCATTTTAATTTCTTTCACAAATCTTCTTTTTTTATTTTTTTTTATTTTTTTCTTTTTTCTTCTTCTTATTCATTTACTTAAGAAATACTTGTTGAAATATGCTAGGATTTCTCCCCTAATAAATAGTAATTGTATGGTTTCCACAGTGCCCAGAAATGATCAGCCCCAGTAAATATTTGCGAATTAACTCACAAAATTAATAGATTAAGTTGAACCATATGAAGTTATCATTTTTTTAAGATCAAAGTGGTCACATGCCAGCAATTTTATATGTTCAAAAAATGTTACCAATAAGAATCATACCAGTATGGAAGAAAAATACATATTGTTACTCCTTAATATTGTTAATGCTAACAATAATGTTAATGTTTATAATTTTCTTTCATTAAACTATAAAACTTGACTTTTCTCTGCCTGTTAGGAAACACGGAATTACCCAGAATCGTATCCACAACTGCCAAGGGATGAAACGGTGGAGAACCCTCATCTCCAAAAGCACATTTTGGAATTGGCATCCATTCTGGATGTTCGAAACGTGTTCTTTGAAAATACCTTGGATGACTATTAAAACAAAAACCCTCTTGTCGAAACACTTTCATTTGCCACAGATTTTAAATGGTGCCATTTTCTAATGTGATGACAGACACATAGTGGTGTTACTTCGTTTTTATTTTTTAATTTTAGGACCGCCATTTTAACAACAAACCTAAAACATTGTTCAAACGTTTAGGGTGGCTGTTTTAAAATACAATCTTTCAGGTCTTTTAAAAACTCGCTTAATTTGGGGATTTTTATTTTTTTGGTTTTGAGGTATGGATATTTGCCTCCAGCATCTCACCCTACCCTCAAATATTCACTGTTCTCACTCTTCGAAGAGTAAATTATTTATTTTTGTATAATGAGGAAAATCCAACTCTTAAACTTGGACCTTACAGTGTAATTGTTCACAGAGATGAAACTAGCCAGCATGGACTACTAACAATCTAGAAGAGTCCTGCCATAATATTTCTTTTCATTCCAAGTTAGTAGGTAGAAACTGTGTGAAGAGTATAATCGAGACAGTTCTTGAAATCATTTAACTTGCTTAAATACTGTCATAATTTCTAAAACTATATGAGATTGATTTGCGCCTGAAAGCTAAAGCTTTAATTGGGATCTGGAGAATGATAAATATCATCTGGAGTGTGTGAATCCTGTCCTATGAGATATGTTTGCATATTTTGTTTTCTTCGTTAGACTTTGAGTGCTGGAAATGTAAAAGAACAACTTTTAAATATTTCACTTAAAAATCAGATTGTCAGCTTTTTAATACAGTATTTCCAGTAGGAATTCTATTTAAATTCTTCATTCATACGGTCAGGTTTAAAGACTGTCTAGATTGAAGTCCGTGGCGTACAGTACAGAGTTTATAATCTTTTTGCAGAGTTAACGTTTGTGAGACTTCAGAGTCAGAGATGGTATTACCTTTAGTTGGGGGCAACTGAGTTGTTATGTAACCTAAGATGGAAGTTGTTTTGCATTGACAATTTGGCAATAAGATGTTTTTTAAAACTTCTTGTACTTAATATTTTATATTCACGCACAAGTTTTTTATTATTTTAAATAGGACTCAGTGTATAATATAAAGATTTTTGTGTTCTTCTTCCCTATCATCCCCTTCATAATTTCACAGGTACTAGCTATGATATTTGCCTCCCTCCCCCTGCCCTTTTGACTCTACTCAGAAAGTTATGAATCAAAGTCCTTCTACTTAATTTTCTATATACAGCCTCACATTCTACCTCTGGCAGGCAGTCCTAGGGGAAATGAGGTGATTGCTTTTGGTGCCTCTTTCCTATGTCCCTCGGGAAATTTTATTGTTATATATTTTTAACTTTGTTTTCATAGAGAATTACTTGGGTCTGAGTTATTCATATACTTGTTCTAATTTGCTGATATTATAGCTGATATCTTGAAGTTATTGTTCTTGGTTTTGGGGGACTTTGTGGTGTTTTATTCATTAAAAAAATTTTTTTTATTGATTTCAGAGAGGAAGGGAGCGAGAGATAGAAACATGAATGATGAGAAAGAATCATTGATTGGCTGCCTCCTGGATGCCCCTCACGGGGGATCCATCCCACAACCCAGGCACATGCTCTGACTGGGAATCAAACCACAATCTCCTGGTTCATAGGTTGATGCTCAACCACCGAGCCACACCTGTTTCATTAATTTTTAATTATTTTTGTTTGTTCTTTTAAACATATTTCAGAAAGCTTTGGAAAAGATATTCTGGATAGAGATTACCTTTGCTAGTGGATTGTTTTCCATTATCAGATAAAGACCACTTTCTCTTTTTCTCAGCCCCTTAATAAACTTCATAGCTTTCGTGTCACCAAGGTTTTCACCTAGACTCCAGCAATAGACTGGCCTAGTTGTTCGACCTCTTGTTTCAATTCTCTCATAGTTCTGTGCCAGTAACATTCCTAACACATATATTCCTGTTCTCTGATGCTTAAAATGATATTGTACATCCTGAGCTTTATCCTCACCTGTTTAGCATAAAGAACACTGGTCTGAGAACTAGGAGTCCTGAGTTCTAATCCCGCTTTCCTGATAACTAGCTGTATGCCCTTAATAGGTGTCTTCATGTCTCTGCTTTTTAGCATTCTCATCTGTAAAATGAAGGCATTAGCCCTAGATCCTGTCCAACTCACTGGTTCTATAATTTGAATTCTTGGTTCCAAAAGATACTGATTTCTCCACCCCGTCACCTGGAAAACTAGTTTTCCTAATTTTAGTGTACACATTTTCTTTTCAGGATCATATTTAACTAGTTTTTATTCAAGAAAATAATCGTAGCTGTTGTAGAAACTAGTTCAGAGAGAGAATCTGAAATATTAGAGGTTTTGTGATTAGAAATCACAACTAGGGTTTAGATGATGACATTGGCTTCTTAAACTAATAGTAGTGTAATTCCTTACTGGTAGTTAAAAATTTAAAGCGAACCAAAGTGATCTTGAGAGGAAAACTGCTAGGAAAGGCTAAGCTATTGTTTCATTCAGGCCTTCAAAAAAAAAATGTGTATTGAACAACTGTACTCCAGATTTTGTTCCAGGCACTGGAGAAGCAAACAAAGTAGACTTAAAAATTCTGGTCTTCGTGAAGCTTCATTCTAGTAGGAGGAGTCAGGCAATACATACAATAATTAAGTAAATTTATATTAGGAAGTTATAAGTAGCGTGAGGAAAAGTCAGGGCATGGTAAGGAAGTTTTTCCGTTTGTTTTGTGGCAAAGAGCAATGTGGAAATGAGTGATCAGGGTAGGCCTTACTGAGATTACATTTGTGCAAACAATTCATATTTATCTTTTCTCTCTGTGTGTATGGTTTTACTTTTTATTGTGGAAGTTTTACATATAAACAGAGCTTAATGAACCCTCTTGTACCCACTACCAAGCTTCTACATTTTAAAAAATATATTTCTATTGATTTTACAGAGGAAAGGAGAGAGAGAGAGAGAGAGAGAGAGAGAGAGAGAGAGAGAGAGTGAGAGAGAGAGAGAGAGAGAAAGAGAAAGAGAGAAAGAGAAACAGCAATGATGAGAGAAAATCATTGATTGGCTGCCTTGTGCCCTGACCAAGAATAGAGCCAAGACCTCCTGGTTCATAGGTCGATGCTCAACCACTGAGCCATGCCAGCAGGGCCAGCTTCTACATTTTAAGGTGTTACTTTAATTAAGGAAGAAGCAACATAAAAGGACAATCGCCCCAGTGGGCTCTAGATGGCAGTGGCCAAGAATCAGTGCAAACTGCCCCCCTTTATAAATGTAAAAATAGCACGCTTTTTATTTATTTATTTTTAGAATTCATAGAAACTAAAATATTGGAACTAAGAACAAAGCAAAGCAATAGGAAAGGGCACTTTTTTGTTTTCCAATTGCACAAACTCCCCCTGGAGATTCTGATAGTCTCTCACCTCTCGTAAGAATCACTGTAAACAAAATAGAAAGTGTAAGACTGCAAAAAGTCAGTTATACACAAAACAAAAATAAGCACAATGGAATTATTTTCATTTTCTTTTCCCATATATTTCTGAAGTTGATAGAGCACTTATCTTCCCTATTTTACAGAAGAGAAATCTAAGGTAGTCCCCCACCCCCCCAAAAAATTTGTCAATTTATTCACAGTGATAGTGTTAGAACTCAAATCTCCTACTCTCGGCCCAGTCTTTCCTAGTCGCTCAGGTTTTCTATAATGAACAAGAAAGAAATAAGAGATTTATATTTTGGCACAAAGGTTATGATATTTTTAATATCAAATATTAAAACCAGTAAATGAGTCAGCCCTAGCAAATTTTTATTTATTAATTATAACTTATAGTCCATAAGTTAGACATTTTGTCTTTGATTTTAGCCTATATGTGTGTGTGTGTGTGTGTGTGTGTGTGTATTGTGTGTGTGTGTGTATCTGTGTTTTCTTCTTAGGAAGTGGTGCTCTCAAAACCTCTCAAAGCACATAGAATTTATTGTACTCTTTATATTTTTACCGAGTTGAAATGTTTTGAGATTATAAAAGCAAAGTGCAATCTAGTTATGACTGAAATTTTTTTAATCTAGGATCTGGATTTTATTTTTCTTCACTTGTGGCTTCTGCCCTTTGTTTTGTTCTTGTAATAGAATTTCCTGAAAGTGATTAGGTGTATTAGATGGTGATTGAACTGAATTTCATTGAGGTAAAGGGAAAATCAACAAATACGCTTTTTTGTATATCAGTTATGGATCTTCCTGTAGCATTCTTCTTTAAGTTTAATCTCTGATCTTTGTGACTTAGCAACTTTCTGTTTCTTAGAAGGGCTTTGGACTCAGTTGAAAAATCTTGTACTTAGTTATCCATGGAGACTTGTAATCAGCCTGATATACAGAGAACATTCTTGACTGGAAATACAGTAAGGTATGAAGGTCTGCAAACTTGGCTTCTGCCAGTGATTCAGAACCACCTCCCCACCCTAAGTGAGTAAAAGATTTGATTTTAATATCAATGGTATGAGTCTCCTGGTGATATTTTGGGTGTATACATGTTCCTGTGTGTGTGTTTGGAGAGTGTAAAGTGTATTTACATTGAGGGCTCTTTTGTTGACTTTTATTTATTTGAAATTCTTATTTGTAATGGCATGTGTATATTTTTATGATGCTAAATGCAATCTCTGTGTATACTTTTTGTATATATGTACATATTTGTAAATATATTGGTATGCAATGATATAGTATGTGTTTATTATATACCCATATCCATTGTGGGCTAAATTTATTTAAGTTCTGTGAGGACATCATAGTGGCATTGTTCATGCTGCTATAATTAGGTTGTGGCTGTATCTCATTCATGAGCCTCTATTTTGAGGGGCTTGTGTTTGGATATAATGGGTTAATTTGGAGTTGAAATTAGGATACAAAGATCTTTAACAGAAAGCTGGATACTCTTAGCTTTAAAATCATCTGCCAATTTTCATTTAAACTGATGATAAATTAGTGACATAAACCTGAAAAACCTAAGTATGTGAAACTGAGATACCAACAGGTTTTTAAGCTATATTAGTCCTTTATTTTCTTGATCCATA